TTTTTTTTTTTGATTGAAAACAAGAGTTGTCACAATAGACCAACGGATTGGTATCTGGAGATTTTGGTGGCCATTGTGCGCTGTAAATGAAGCGAGGAACCTCATTTTGTAACCATTCATTGGTGGAGCGTGCTGAGTGCGATGGTGCTGAGTCCTGTTGTAATGTTCAAAGTCTGCTGCCAAAATGTTTGCATACCCAAGGCTTTAATACACCCCCCACGGTCGATTAATACGAGTGGAGAGCGACCATCGGTTGTTATGGCTCTGGTCTTCGCTTGAGTTATGGTGGCCAACCGAGGGTGCACATTTTCAACTTACCTCTTTGGCAAGTAAACACGATCATTTTGTTTGTTTACAAACTGCTGGACAACGAATGTTTTCTCATCGGAGAAACCCAATTTTGGCAGTTCATCACTTAGGGCCAAGCAAAGCAACTCTTTACCTCTTTATACCCTACACCACAAGGTGGTCAGGGTATTATGTCTTTGTGCATTTGTTTGTAACAGGCAAAAGGAAACGATATAGACCCATAGTTCCTTTTGATGATCTGCATAGAATCACATTCTGAGTCGATTTATGCACGTCCGCCGTCGGTCTGTCCGTCCGTCTGTCCGTCGTCTGTCCATGTATTTTTGTAAACGAAGTACAGTTCGCATTTATTGCCCTATCCAGATGAAATTTTGCACAAATCATTTGTTTGGCCGCAGGACGAACCCTATTGAAATTGGAGATAATCGTTTAAAATTTAGATATAGCTCCCGATTTGCCTTTTATTGTGCACCAAACGTGTAATATCAGTCCGAATAGTATGGAATTTTGCACATACAACCAAATTAGGTCTGAAAATAAGTATGTCAAATTTGATCGAAATCGGTTCAGATATAGCTATAGCTCGCATATATATTGTTCATCCGATTTTTTATTTTTGTCGTCCGCAGCCGTAATATGCACTCCGTAACAACAATATTTGGGAAAATATATCAAATACAGCTCAGAAATACATTTGCTAAATTTTATCGAGATCGTATCAGATTTGGATATAGCTCCCATATATAACTTCATCCGATTTACTTTGGATTGTGCACCAAACGACTAATATTTGCCCAAATTGGATGAAATTTGGCACTTACGACCGAATTGAGTCTAGAAGCTAGTATGTCAAATTTGGTGAAGATCGGTTAAGATATAGCCATAAATACTGTTCATCCGATTTGTCAAATTTGTTACCCACAGCCGTAATATGCACTCTGTAACAACGATATTCAGGGAAACATATCAAATAGAGCTCAGAAATATCTTTGCCAAATTTTATCGAGATCGGTTCCGATTTGAATATGGCTCCCATATATATTTTTATCCGATTTCAATCAAATGGGCAATACAAGTCCGAATTTAAAAGATACAAATGCTTCGCCATAATTAGTCCTTTGAACTTTAAATTATAATTATAATCATAGCGTGTATGATTGAATTCTCCCATAAAAACTTTTAATTGTTTGCGTAGCTCTACTAAATTAGCAAAGAGGTGTAGGGTATCATAAAGTCGGCCCCGCCCGACTTTAGGACTTTCTTTACTCGTTTTATTCTATTTTCTTTCTATTGCGGTACAAGTTCTTGCAATGGCTTTACCGACCATTTCTCGGCCACTGCGACACGAGGTTCGATCAAGTCGATTCTGTACTTTTTGAACCATTTCTGCTGATGGTGCTGTATTCTTCCGTCCACTTCCTTGACGTCGGGCTACGCTACCAGTATCATGGTAACGATCGATGGTACGAGACACAAAAGACTTATTCGCATTTAAATGCTAGAGTGCCCTAACGATAGTCACGTGTGGTTTTCCATCCAAATATAAAGAAATCACACTATCACGCCTGAATTCCATCACGAATAATTTTTTTTCTGGAAAATTCACACCAAAATGCTTTGGTACCTAAACAATATAATGAGCTGTCACTGGAACAATTTTAACAGCTATCGGACGAGTGGCTTAGAAATTACAGCAGTCTGAAGTTGGTTGCAGTTTTTTCATCTCACCCTGTATATTCTTGAGCTGCGTAAAATTCTAAGTCGGTTTAGCTATGTCCGTCTTTCTGCTTGGCTATCTGTTCATTTGTCTGTTTGTTGTAATCACGCCATCTTTCACATGCGTATTTTTTTCAGTAGGAAAATTAAGTTCTTAAATGGAGCATGTCAGTATACGTTTAAATATAGGAATTGAATTGTTTCACATGTTGTGTTAGAAAATCTTACCGAACTTTAAATACCCTCCACCATTTGGAACGAACTTGGCAATTCTAAAAAATAATAAAATCCGTTGAAAAGTTTGTTAAATCTTAAAAATACCGAATGTAGCTGTTATATTAGGGTCTATACGACGACATGGACCTGTATAGGTAACTTTTGCCATAAACCATTACAATACTCAAGTACGAAACTTGAATAAAAAAATTCGGTGAATAATGTAGCTACAATACAAATATCGGGAGGTACAGTAATATGGGGGCTATACTAAAACGTGGATCTGCACAGACAGTTTTCTGCCATAGCCTGTAGTACCTATTTCGAGCTTCAAATACCAAATTTGAAACATTTCCGGTGAATGATGTCGCTAAAATCAACAAAATACCGAATGTCGGGGATACCGTTATATCGGGGGATATACGAAGACGTGGACCTGCACAGACAATTTTCTGTCTTAGGCTGTAGTATTCTTTACGAACTTTAAGTACTAAATTTGAAACATTTCCGGTGAATAATGTCGCTAAAATCATCCAAATACCGAATATCGGGGGGTACCGTTATATAGGTTTATTTTCTGTCCCAGGTTGTAGTATCCATTACAAACTTCAAATACCAAATTTGAAAGAATTCCTGTGAATAATGTCGCTAAAATCATCAAAGTACCGAATATCAGGCGGTACCGTTATGTGGGGGCTATATGAAGACGTGGACCTGTACAGACAATTTTCTGTCATAAGCTGCAGTATCCGTCACAAACTTTAAATACCAAATTTGAAACAATTGCGGTGAATAATGTCGCTAAAATCATCAAAATACAGAATGTCGGAAGGTACCTTTAATTGAGGGCTATACAAAAACGTGGACCTACATGGCCCATTTCCAATACCAATAGTCCAGCAGATATAATATACACTTGACTAAAATTTTATCAATCAACTTCATTTCGTTCGGAAGATAGGGTGATTCCCACAGATGGACAGACGTACGGACACCGCATAGAATTTTATGCTGATCAAGAATATATATACTTTGTGGGGTCTAAAATGTATATTTCCAGGTGTTACGAACGTAATGACACATTTAAGATACCCAGACATTCTTGAGATATAAGCATTCTAGCTAACATCTCCTCCTATTGCATATACACATTGTATACAGGGTTGCCCATATTCGACGGACCCATCTGGCAACGCCATAACTTTTGACAGAGATGTCACATCGCTTAATGACATACCGCGTTTGAAGCGTCAGTCCAAGCAGATTTTTACCATGAACCAATACACGCCACGAGAGTGCTCTTAAATAGCTGAAATTTACATTCAACAGAAGAAGTCAATTGTGAAAAAAAAATGTGAGAAGTGTGCCTTCTAAGAACACCATTAAGCGTTTATACGAAACATTTTCGACTGGTAAGGCTCTTTCTAATCCGAAGAGGCCATATAAAAGTCGACTAAGGCGATCGGCAGAGAATATCACTGCCGTACGAGCCAGTGATGAGAGGTCCCCAAGAACATCCCAAAAACGCCGTTCTCAGCAGTTGGGCATGGCTCGGTCCACTTTACAACGGATTATTCGCATTGATTTGCATTTGTTCCCGTACAAAATTCAATTGACGCAAAGAATGTTGCCTGCGGATAAGCCTCGTCGATTGGAATGGGCCCAATGGGTCCAAAGGTCCGTCGAATATGGGCAACCCTCGCTATATATATTCGATATATTTACTATCGGCATTTACGTAACATTTAGAATTGACCTCTTCGTCTATTTGTGATTTCGCCGGGTTTAAAAATATTCGCGGTTTAATGGAAAATTTGATTTTTATTTAACACAAATGTTATGGTCTATTCCACCCTCTAAATATTACACGATGACCTTTCAAATTGGAAGCTAAGCTAAGCTATAGCCGCATGCTAACTTCCACGTCGATTGATCTGTAATTGCGACCTGTACAGTAACTGCAATATCAGGAAATTTTTCACTTTTTGGTCCATTTCCACCCCTAAATATTATGCGATCATATCCAAAAGCAATAGGGTTCTATTCTGGCCCTAGCCCCACCTCCATTCTAAATTTCGTGAAGTTTGGGCCATAATTGCGACCTGTAGAGTGATTACAAATTAACATGGACAGACGGACAGACGGACGGACGGACATATATAGCTAGATCGACTCAGCTCGACGAGATAGGAGGATCCATATATACTTTCCTATATGGATCTCTCCTTTTGGGAAACCAATATTTCGTGGTTTTACATAATTTGTGTCCCAATCAAAATATATAATACCTCCAACATATAGTGTTGTAGGGTATAAAAATAATTTTGGTGCTGATTATGGTAGTTTAGTAAAACTTCTCTAAAAAACTACGTCGTACATAGGATGTTACTACTAGAGGATGTTTCATATTACAAGATTTAAATATAGCCTCCAACCGTCTTTACGAAATCGTAAACTCTTAGATTTTTTAGGACTATCTTATAGCAAAGTTGATCAATTATTTCCTTAGTTGTTCTATTTACTACACATCTACCTCAACCACATTACAACCAACCAACTTCAAAATTTACATTCAATTAAATTCCAATTAGCATGATGAGCAACCACTTAGTCGCAAAATTTATATTTACCTAAAAGGATTCGCTTGCAATTACAATTCAATTGAAACCATAAATAATTCGAATGTAATTTATTTGCATTTTGCATTGCGTTCAAGCAATTCTGCAAGTTAAACAAATTTCAAGTTGATTTGGCAGAGGTTGAAAGACGTTGGAAAAAGTCCCAATTGCATTGGCAGCGATTCTTTGGCGAAATAATCAAATACAACTTCGAAAATACACAGACGCAAAACGTCCTCAAGCAACGAAGGAGTAAAATGTTGTTGCAACCGCCAGTGGCTACAACATCAGCTCTAATACGATTTTTAAGTAAGTTTATCGTTGGGGTAGCATTAAAATCGAAAAATATTTGAATCCCATTGAAACCCTGAAAAACAAAAGAAATCTCAAGAGCCAAAATATTTGATGATGTTGACTTATTTTCCTTCTTTTGGTGGCACTTCTTTGCAGTTGCTTCTTATTTCGCAAATTTAACTTCGGTTTTGATTGTATACGATGGTGAGGCCACAGTCCAAGGCAAATGCTCATTGCAGCAGGAGTATCTGGATGCAGTGCAACAAGCATTCGACAATCAATCTCAGCACGGTAACATTATTGGTTTGCAATGGATCAATGTAAAATTGTTTAGGGATATACAGGAGCCGGGGGAGGAGGACAATTGGGCAGATCAAGAATTTAAAGAACATATACTCAAGGCGGTTGATATTGCTACTGAGGTAAGAATATGGGACAAAAATAGCTACATTCTAGATTAGTAGAATGGATTAATTATTTTCCAAGTAAATTGAACCAGGGTGAGATAAAAAACTGCAACAAAGTCAAACGCCATAATTTTTATACCCTCCACGAAAAAAAGTATGGAGGGTATATTAAGTTCGTCATTCCGTTTGTAACTCATCGAAATAATCATTTTAGACCCAACAAAGTATATATATTCTTGATCAGCGTAAAAATCTAAGACGATTTAGCCCTGTCCGTCCGTCTGTCCATCTGTCCGTCCGTCCGTCTGTTGTAATCACGCTACAGTCTAAACGAATTAAGATAGGAAGCTAAAATTTTGCACAAATCTCTCTTTTGTCTGCAGGCAGGTTAAGTTGATGATTTTACCCACATTTTTCTACGAAATTGTCTGAAAATCCACACAAGGAGTTTCTTGTGGGTACATTATACCTCGGCAGAGAATTATCTATATAGGTTCACAATATCGTATAGCCCCCATATAACGGTAACCCCACGGTATTCCGTATTTTGATGATTTTAGCCACATTTTTCAATGGAAGTGTCTGAAATTTCACAAAAGGAGTTCTTTGTGAGCACTTTACACGCAGACATAGATTTGTCTTTATAGGTCCACAATATCGTATATCCCCCCATATATCGGCACCTTCCTATATTAGATATTTTAAAGATTTTAAAAGAATTTGTAATGGATTTTATTTTTTTGAAAATTTTCTAATTCGTTCCAAATGGTGGAGGGTATTCAAAGTTTGGCCCGGCCGAACTTACTGCTTTTTTACTTGTTACATTTTTATACCCTCCACTTTGGAAAGGAGGGTATATTAACTTTGTCATTCCGTTTGTAACATCCCTAAATATTCGTCGTAGACCCCATAAAGTATATATATTCATAAACAGCATACAATTCTGAATCGATTTAACGATGTCCGTCTGTCTGTTGAAATCACGATACAGTCCACATTATTTGACGTAGAGCGTCAAAATTTAGCAGAATAATTTGTATTGTGTCTAGGATGGTTGGTTGGTATTGAAAATGAAATATAGTCCCTATATAACGGTACCTTCCGATATTCGGTATTTTGATGACTTTTACCACATTTTTTCACGGATTTGTCTAAAAATTGGTATTTGTTGGTCATAATGGGTTCTAGCAACGGTGGCGAAACATTGCATTTAAAGGTCCACGATTTGGTACAACCCCCATATAATGGTACCTCCCGATATGCGGTAGTTTGATGATTTTTGAAATATTTCTTCGCGGATTTGTCTAAAAATTGGTATTTGTTGGTCATAATGGGTTCTGGCTGCGGTAGCGAAACATTGTATGTATGGGTCCACGTTTTGGTATAGCTCCCATATAACGGTACCTCCAGATATTCGGTATTTTGATGATTTTTGCCATATTTCTTCGCGGATTCGTCTAAAAATTGGTATTTTTGTGTCCTAATGTGTTCTAGCTCCGTTGCCGAAATATTGTATATATAGATTCACGTTTTGGTATAGGCCCATATAGCGGTACCTCCCGACATTCAATATTTTGATGATTTTGCGACATTTTGCGACATTTTCCAAAGAATATGTCTAAAAATTTATATTGGTGGGACACAATGGGTTCTAATGCTTCCTTTACTTTCCTTTGGCTCGGCCGAACTTAATGTTTTTTTACTTGTTTTTTTTAATGTTGGAAATAGCATTAAATTTTACAATAAGTTTTGACTTGTTCGAATTGGTCACCTTTGGCACGAATTATGGCTTTTAAATGGGCAATGAAACCGTCACACGCTGCCCGAATGTTGCTCTCCGGTATTTTGGCCCATTCCAGGCGAAGCGCTTGCTTGGGGTGATCGACACTTTGGTATTTTTTAGTGTCAATCTTGCTTTCCAAAATACTCCAGACACAAAAGTCCAACGGATTGGTATACGGAGATTTTGGTGGCCATTGTGCGCTGGATATGAAGCGAGGAACCTCATTTTGTAACCATTCTTGGGTGGCGCGTGCTGAGTGCGATGATGCTGATTTCTGTTGAAATGTCCAAGGTCTGCGGCTAAAATGTTTGTGTGTCCAAGACTTTAATACACCACCCTGAATATTCGGCTTTTATTCTGATGCCACGGGCGATTAATACGAGCGGGGAACGACCATCGGCTGTTATGGCGGCCCCCACCATCATCATGGTCGGCGCTTGAGTTGTGGCGGCCAACCGAATGTGCACATTTTCACCTTACCTCTTTGGCAAGTAATTACGATCATTTTGTTTGTTTACAAACTGCTGGACAACGAATGTTTACTCATCGGAGAAAACTAAATTCGCCAGTTCACCACTTTCGGTCAAGTGAAGCAACTCTTTAGCTCTTTTGAGTCTATTTTCTTTTTGTTGCGGTGTAAGTTCTTGCACTTTTTGGAGTTTCAATGGCTTTACCCCGAGCTCATTTATTTGCCGAATGGAATATTGCAATACGTTCAACTGATGAGCCATTTTTCGGCCATTGCGACGCGGGTTCCGATCAAGTCGCTTCTTTACTTTTCGAACCATTTCTGCTGAAAAACAGCAGTTTTCTGTTCCGTCCACTTCCTTGACGTCGGGCTACGCTACCACTACCACGGTAACGAGCGATGGTACGAGACACAAAAAATTTATTCACATTTAAATGCTGCAGGACTCAAACAATAGCAACTTGTGGTTTTCAAGCCAAATATAAACAAATCACGCTTGAGTTCCATAACGAATAACTGTTTTGCTGGAAAATTCTCACCAAAATGCTTTCGTACGCTTGTATACAGTATAATGGCTGTCACAGGAATAATTTTAACAGCTGTCGGACGAGTGGCTTAGAAATGACAGCAGTCTGAAATTGGTTGCAATATTTTCATCCCATCCTATATTCTTGAAAATCACTATAGCTTCCGAACAAAATGAAGTAGGTTGATAAAATTTTCCTCAAATGTATATTATGTCTGCGGAACTTTTGGTATTGAAAATGACCCTTGTAGGTTCACGTTTTGGTATAGCCCCTATATAACGGTATCTCCCGATATTTAGTATTTTGATGATTTTAGCCATATTTTTCACCAGAATTGTTTCAAATTTGGTATATGACCATCGTAATGGATACTACAGCCTAAGACAGAAAACTGTCTGTGCAGGTCCACGTTTTGATATAGCCCCCATTTAACAGTGCCTCCCTATAATTGGTGTTTTGTTGATTTTAGCAACATTATTAACCGAATATTACAAATGGCTTATGACAAAAGTTGCCTATGTAGGTCCATGTTGTAGCATAAACGGCTACATAATGGCTACATTCTGTATTTATACCCTACAACACTATGTGTTGGGGGTATTATAAGTTTGATTGGGCCAGAATTTATGTAACACCTCGAAATATTGGTTTCCCATATAGGAAAGTATATATGGATCTTCCTAGCTCGCCGAGCTGAGTCGATCTAGCTATGTATGTCCGTCCGTCCGTCTGTCCGTCTGTCCGTCTGTCCATGTTAATTTGTAATCACTCTACAGGTCGCAATTATGGCCCGATCTTCACGAAATTTAAAATGTAGGTGGGGTTAATGTCAGAATAGAACCCTATTTCTTTTGGAGATGATCGCCAAATGTTTAGGGGTTGAAATGGTCCAAATACTGAAAAAATTTCGGATTTTGCAGTAGCTATACAGGTCGCAATTATAGACCAATCGACGCGGAAGTTAGCATAGGACAAGAGCTTAGGGCGGGGAAGAAGCTTACCAATTTCGGTGGTCATCAGATTATATTTAGCGGGTAAAATAGACCATATCTTTTGTATTGAAAAAATTCGAAATTTTTCATTAAACCGCCAACATTTTAAATCCCGGAGAAATCACAAAGCCATGACAGGGTTACTTCTGATCTTTACATTGATGTTAACATCCAACAAATCGGATATATAGCAAAATATGTGCGATAGATATGTCTATCAAAGAAGATATGCTTGAAAGATCTCTTATATGTCAAGAACGGCTGAACTGATTTCGACAGTTCTCATTAATTCAGAATGGCCTCTTGGCAGGAAAGAAACAACGTCTAAAAAATCGCATAAAAATATCTCTATAAAGATGAAAACATTGATTTTATAAAATTTTCTCATATTTTTTCAATTCTTGTCATATTTTTGGCATATTTTCATTTTGAATTAAACATTTGGTAATATTTCTACAGCTAACAAAACTAAGTAGTTAGGATATCAGGATATCATATACAGATCGCATTTATGGCCCGATCCTTACGAAATTTTGCATGGGGATAAGATGAGGGCCAGAATAGAAGCCTACTCTTTTTGGAGATGATCGCCATAGGGGTTGAAATGGACCAAAAAATTGCAAAATTGTCAGCAGGTCGTACTTATCGAATGAATGGGGGTTACCGGACATTGCAAAAGCCAAGCAGTTCTGGATGGCTATCCAAAAATATTCAATGTGTGAAATAGTTTGCCAACTTTTGTAGACAAAATACGAAAATGTTCATTACAGTGACTTCTTGGAGAATTCACAAATACAGGAAAGACGCACTTCTGACTATTTCCTTAACGCTGATTTCGTTGAAGAATATAGTCAAATGGCTGTAAATCATATAGATGCGTTTCAGTCAAAAACCAATAATAAATGATATTTTTTTGTCACTTCTGAGAGATTATGGGTCTTGGGCCAATAAATTGGAAATGAACAAATTAGTTTAAGTTGCTATTATTCGAAAATTAGAGATCGAAACCTGATGGTTTTCTTTTATTATTTGTCACAATATCTTGTGCAATTCTTTCGAGTATCTCGCCTATATAAACTGTATCGTTTATTATAGTGTTGTAGGGTATTCAACGGTCGGCCCCGCTCGACTGTAGCCTTTGCTTACTTGTTTTAAGATTAAAAATGAATTTTTAAAGGATTTTATTTTATTTATTGTGTTTATTTTATTATTTTTTTATTTTTTGAAAATTGCCAAATTAGTTCCAAATGGTGCAGGGTATTCAAAATTCGGCCCGGTCGAACTTACAGCTTTTTTATCTGTTCTATATATGAGGGTTATGAGAAAATACAAGAAGAAATTTAGGTTATTTTCCAACCTAATCTTCGTCTGATTCAAATATATAAATGTGAAAAGGAACTTCGTTCAAAGAAACCTAAGACCTAGAACTAGAATTTCGATAAGGCACACTTTGGCTGTATCAAATGATATATATCCTCTATATCCATAAGACTGGGGATATAAAAACTAATCTTCTTAAAATGCAAAAAAAATGGCCAGAATGATGAGGATATAAAAATTAATCTTCTTAAAGATTTTCAGAAGTCAGTCAGATTTTCCAATTGATTATTTTTAGTATCTTCAGATTGTAGAAATTTTTCCCAAAAAAAACTTTTCAATGTGAGTGTACTTTTAGTATGACTCGTATATAATGGGATCTTCCAAATCTAAGTCATCATCGAAATTAGTACAGGGATGACAACCGATTTAGTCCTGGAATGATATCTCGTCTATAAAACCTGCAAAGAAAGTCTTAAGGTCGGGTGGTGCCGACTTTATGATACCCTACACCACTTTGCTAATTTAGTAGAGCTCCGCATAACAATTAAAAGTTTTTATGTGATAATTCAATCATACACGCTATGATTATAGTTATAATTTAAAGTTCAAAGGACTAAATATGGCGAAGCATTTGTGTCTTTTAAATTCGGAATTGTATTGCCCATTTGGTGCACAATTAATTTGAAATCGGAAAAAAGCTATATCCAAATCGGAACCGATCTCGATAAAATTTGGCAAATATATTTCTGAGCTGTATTTGATATATTTCCCTGATTATCGTTGTTACGGAGTGCATATTACGGCTGTGGGTAACAAATATAACAAATCGGATGAACAGTATATATCAGAGCTTTAGCTATATCTGATCTTCACCAAATTTGACATACTAGCTTCTAGACTCAATTCGGTAATTGCAAAATTTCATCCCATTTGGACAAATATTAGATGTTTGGTGCACAATAAAAGATAAATCGGACGAAGTTGTATATGGGAGCTATATCCAAATCTGAAGCGATCTCGAAAAAATTTAGCAAATGTATTTCTGAGCTGTATTTGATATATTTCCCCAAATATTGGTGTTATAGAGTGCATATTACGGCTGTGGGTAACAAATACAACAAATCGGATGAACAATATATATATGGGAGCTATAGCTATATCTGAACCAATTTCGATCAAATTTAGCATACTTATTTTCAGGCCTAATTTGGTTGTATGTGTAAAATTCCATACTATTCGGGCTGATATTACACGTTTGGTGCACAATAAAAGGCAAATCGGACGAAGATATGTATGGGAGCTCTATCTAAATTTTGACCGATAATCTCCAATTGCAATAGGGTTCGTCCTTGGGCCAAACAAATGATCTGCGCAAAATTTCATATGGATAGGGCAATAAATGCGAACTGTACTTTGTTTACAAAAATGCATGGACAGACGGACAGACGGACGGACGGACGGGCATGCATAAATTGACTCAGAATGTGATTCAATGCAGATCATCAAAAGGAACTATCTCGTTTCCTTTTGCCTGTTACAAACAAATGCACAAAGATATAATACCCTGACCACCTTGTGGTGTAGGGTATAAAAAAGATCGATAAGGACAGTAGAACAAACCCCGAAGGGGTATTAAATGCTCAGACATATTTAACCAAATGTCAAAGCTTTGTCCAAAAAGTTTTTACCGTTCTGAATTTGAACAAGTAAAAGTAGGGTAAAAGAAACATTAGAAAATTAGAAATGTTGCAAAAACTATTAAAATGCCGAATATCGGGAGGTACCGTTATATGGGGGCTACACCAAAACGTGGACCTATAATTACAATGTTTCGCCACACAAACTAGGACCCATTATGACCCACAAATACCAATTTTTAGACAAATCAGTGAAAAAATGTGGCAAAAACCATCAAAGTACCGAATATCGGGAGGTACTGTTATATGGGGGCTATACCAAAGCATGGACCCATACATGCAATGTTTCGCCACCGGAGCTGGAACCCATTATGACCAACAAATACCAATTTTCAGACAAATCCGTGAAAAAATGTGGCAAAAATCATCAAATTACAGAATATCGGGAGGTACCGTTGTATGGGGGCTATACCAAAACGTGGACCTATAATTACAATGTTTCGCCATACGAACTAGGACCCATTATGACCCACAAATACTAATTTTTAGACAAATCCGTGAAAAAATGTGGCAAAAAAAAAAACTAAAATACCGAATATCGGGAGGTACCTTTATATGGGGGCTATATCATGGACCCATACATGCAATGTTTCGCCACCGGAGCTGGAACCCATTATGACCCACAAATACCAATTTCCAGACAAATCCGTGAAAAAATGTGGCATAAATCATCAAAATACCGAATATCGGGAGGTACCGTTATATGGGGACTATACCAGAACGTGGACTGATATATCTCATTTTCAATACCAACCATCCTAGACACAATGCAAATAGCTCTGCTAAATTTTGGCGCTCTATGTCAAATAATGTGGGCTGTATCGTGATTTCAACAGACAGACGGACAGACATGCAGACAGACGGACAGACAGACATACGGACAAAGTTAAATCGACGTAGAATTTTTTGCTGATTATGAATATATATACTTTATGGGGTCTAAGAGGAATATTTAAGGATGTTACAAACGGAATGACAAAGTTAATATACCCTCCTTTCCGAGGTGGAAGGTATAAAAATAGCATTTTCAACTGTTTGCTCTCATAGTTTCGAGTTGTTCCTACCATACATTCTCATACCTAGTTTTAAATAGCATTTTCAAAATTCAGTTAAATGGCCAATTAATATATTGACCATATTTAAAATAAAAATTTCGCCACATTTATACTACATATTTAAATGATAACATTTAATATTCACATAAAATGTAAATAATAATTTCACACACACCCATGGGCTATGTTTACACTATTGACACCTACAATCTCAACAGAAATCTATTGCACAACATCTATTTGAATTAAATATTTCACATTGCCTAAACAAATTTAATATTTCGAGTAACTAAACATCAAACTTGCTATGTATTTCTCCATCTTTCTCTCCCTCTTTCCCTCTCTCTTTACTCCTTCCGCAGGGGTTTATTACAATTCTAACAAACACTTCAAGTTTTCTGCATGCCCGCTACTTTGCCACCCGTTATGCAAGATTACGCCTCAAGGATAAAATCTATTTGTTTTTGTGTGAAAACGAAGACCCTGCAGAGTTGCTAGCCTCGGAACTTTTACAGTGTAAGTGAAACAGTGAACAATTTTTGTGAATATATTTCATTTGCATTTGTCAGGTTTTTGCCTAGCAAATGGATGGATACACCTTTATATATAGTTCAAGTGCCACAAGTCCTTAGAGTGATGTTTTTTACACACAAAAAATAATAACAAAGAATGCGGCAGCAGTTCAAAAAAAAAAAACAAATGCTAAAATACAAAATATGTATGTTGGTATATTGCAGAACTTATGAATGAAAAAAGAAAAACAATAAACACTTTCACAAAATTATCGGGCAGTTTTGGAAATTTTACAGAGAATACTAGGTCAACGACACAATTTGTGTTGGACAGTTATTAAGAAATTTTTGAAATAAACTGTGAGGGTGGGATTTAGAAACCAAAAGGCAGGGAAATAGATTACGATACCATTGTTACCAGATTTCAATGATTTAAAATTGCAAAAAAAAATTCAAATTAGAATTTCTAAAAAGGATAAACAGAGCAGAAATACGGGGCTCTGATTTTTAAACAATATATTTTAAAAAAGAAGATTTATGTAAAGCACTAACAATGATTTTAAGGATATTTTTCGAAGGATAGAGCAGACCATAACAATATTATATTTCAATGCAATCGAGGGTGCTATGAAGAATATTATTTGTATAAGAGGTAATAATGTTTAATTCTAACGGATATATTTAAGACCATTAACGTTTTATATAATATTTTTTTAAGGATCAATAGGGGTATTAAATAATATCAAAGGATCAAAGCAATAAATATGGATTTAAAAATAATATTTTTGAAGGTTTTTTTTTTGGAGAATTGAATTTTTATACCCTTCAACACTATGTTTTGGGGGTATCATAAATTTGATTGGGCCAAAAATTATGTAACACCTCGAAATATTGGTTTCCCACATAGGAAAGTAAATATATATAGATCTTCCTATCTCGCCGAGCTGAGTCGATCTAGCTATGTATGTCCGTCCGCCCGTCTGTCCGTCTGTCCATGTTAATTTGTAATCACTCTACAGGTTGCAATTATGGCCCGATCTTCACGAAATTTAGAATGGAGGTGGGGCTAGGGCCGAAATAGAACCCTATTTTGGAGATGATCGCATAATATTTAGGGGTTAAAATGTACCAAAAACTGAAAAATTTCTTGATTTTGAAGTGGCTCTAAGGGCCGCAATTATAGAGCGATCGACGCGGAAGTTAGTATGAAGCTAGATCTTAGGGCTGGGCAGAAGCCTTCCAATTTTCATGGTCATCGGGTAATATTTAGTGGGTGAAATAGACCATAAAATTTGTGTTTAAATAAAAGTCAACATTTCCATTACACCGCGAATACTTTAATTCCCGGCGAAATCATAATCATACTTTGTAAAATATTTAGTTTTTTACACCTACATTCATTGATTTTTCGGTACCCCAAAATAACAGGTAAATTATTTGCATAATAATCCATTACAATGCAACCACTAAAATACAATTTTCCCGGAAAATTAAAATTTTCAATTTTCCATGGTAAAATACAAATTATTATCACTTCAGATTTGGTCCTTTTTATTCCTTCTACCTATTCTCTTATTATACCCTCCACCATACTATGGAGGGTATATTAATTTTGTCATTCCGTTTGTAACTCCTCGAAATATTCATGTCGGACCCAACAAAGTATATATATTCTTGATCAGCGTAAAATTCTAAGACGATTTAGCCATGTCCGTCTGTCTGTCTGTCCGTCTGTCTGTCTGTCTGTTGTAATCACGCTATCTTTCGAACAAATTGAGATAGAAGGCTAAAGTTTTGCACACATGTATTTTTTCCCAGTAGGCAGGTTAAGTTCGTAAATGGGCCATCTAGGTCCAAGTTATCATATAGCCCCCATATAACGGTACCTCCCGATATTCGGTATTTTGATGATTTTAGCGACATTATTCTCCGGAATTATTTCAAATTTGCCATTTGAAGTTTGTAATGGATGCTACAGCCTAAGACAGAAAATTATCTGTGCAGGTTCACGTCTTCCTGTAGGCCCCATATAACGGTACCCCCCGATATTCGGTTTTTTGATGATTTTAGCGACATTGTTTACCGGAATCGTTTCAAATTTGGTATTTGAAGTTCGTAATGGATACTACATCCCAAATCAAAAAATGAGCCATGTAGGTCCACGTCTTCATATAGCCCCCATATAACGGTACCCCCCGATATTCGGTATTTTGATGATTTTAGCGACATTGTAAAGGAATCGTTTCAAATTTGGTATTTGAAGTTCGTAATGGATACTTCATCCAAAGTCAAAGAATGAGCCATGTAGGTCCACGTCTTCATATAGCCCCCATATAACGGTACCCCCCGATATTCGATATTTTAATGATTTTAGCGACGTTATTTACAGGGATTGTTTCAAATTTCATATGTGAAGTTCGTAATGGATACTTCAGCCCATGCCAGAAAATTGTCTGTGTAAGTCCACGTCTTCGTATAGCCCCCATATAACGGTACCCCCCATATTCGGTATTTTGACGATTTTGGCTACATTATAAACAGATTTTTCTTCAAGTTTCGCATTTAAATATTGTAATAATTTATGACAAAAGTTGCCTATGCAGGCCCACGTCGTCGTATAAGCATTCGGTATTTTTAAGATTTTAACAGAATTTTTAACGGGTTTTATTTTTTGGAAATTGCCAAATTTGTACCAAATGGTGGAGGGTATTAAAAGTTCGGCCCGGCCGAACTTACAGCTTTTTTACTTGTTTTTCTATTATCTTCAATTTCGCAACCAATCTAAACGTACATGACAAATAAAAAATGCATCTTTCATTTTTATAATATTGAATTGTATTTATACTACCTGTACATTATTTTTTTAATGTTCCGCCATGTGGTACACTACGATTTCGTAGTGCTCCGACTGCGGTAAACTACGATGTCCCACTGCGGTAAACTACGATGTCCCTGTCCCTGGTCAAAATGCTAATGGTAGTCTCTGGGAAGTGTTGCGTGACATAATTTCAAAAGTGAAATCTTCCAAAATGGATTAGACATAAGGGAGCTTCTAACATATTATGGTGTAGTAGGGTATCACATGGTCGGCCCCGCACGTCTATAGCCTTTGCTTACTTGTTTTTAATTATTTTTTCAAGAATAAAACCAATACTCATATGTTTGGAATAATCATCAAATATGGATTTTTAAAAATATGTTTTTTTGAAGGACCATCTATCGTTCCTTTTGTACAATACAATTTAAAAAATAACTGAGTTATTTAATTATATTTTTAAAGAATCATGGATTTTTAAAAATTGTATTTCTTAAAGGATCAACAAACATGCATTTTTTAAAAAATATATATTTTTTAAAATATCTATATTAATAAAAGTCAGTCTTAACGATGACTGACTGACTTAACGATCCATCAACGCTCAGACAAAACGGCTGAATCTCGAATTTCGAAATTTTTGGATGAGGGTTACTCTTTATCCGAAGGTGAAAAGTACTAAAATATACTAAATATTGTACCCTCTGCATTTGACGAGCCAGTAGAGCTAAAACTCTTATATTTGGAATAAGAGTAACTCTTGGAGTGTATGATTGATGTGCCAAAGGGTTTTGGGAAGTCCGCACTATAAGTGTACGAAAAGCACTAAAATGTACTACATTTGGTATCATTTCGCATCATGTGTATGGTTGGAGCTACAAACTTGAAATTTAATATGGGTATCAATATTGAGGAGTGGGGTCGATGTAAGGGGGTACTTTTGGAATTGTGTGCTCATGTATACAAAAAGTACTAAATGGTAATAAATTTGGTACAATTTGAATTTGGAGGAACAAATGGATCTGGAACCCTGAAATTTGAAATTAGCAGGATTGGATATGGAGGTAGTTTTCGAAATTTGAATTAAATGGTACTAAATTTGTTACAATTTCGATTTGGGTGAATCGATGGAGCTGGAATTTTTTGAAATAAGATTACAATAGCATTGTGTACAATTGTATGTGTACGAAAAAATTAAATAGTACTGCATTTGGTATTTGGTTAAGGAATAGAGCTGAAATCATGAAAATTAATTTAGATCTCACTATTGGTGTATGTAGTTGAGAGAAGAAGATGGTTTAGGATATACGTAACATAATAGTACTAAATGGTACTAAATTTGGTAATGTGGAAAATTAGAGAGCTGAAATCCTGAAATTTGATATTAATGAGATGAAAGAACTGCAACCATCTTCAGACTGTTGTCATTTCAAAGCACCTCGTCCAACAACTGTTAAAATTATTCCAGTGACAGCTCATTATATTGTTAACAAGAGTACAAAAGCATTTTGGTAAGAAGTTTCAAGAAAAAAAGTTATTCGTGATGGAATTCAAGCGTGATATATTTGGCTGGGAAACCACAAGTGGCTATAGTTAGAGCACTTCAGCTTTTAAATGTGAATAAATCTTTTGCGTCTCGTACCATCGATCGTTACCATGATACTGGTAGCGTAGCTCGACGTCAAGGCAGTGAACGGAGGAAAACAGCAACATCAGCAGAAATGGTTCGAAAACTAAGGAAGCGACTTGATCGAAACCCGCGTCGCAGTGGCCGAAAAATGGCTGGTAAGCTAAACATATCGCAATATTCCATTCGGCAAATATTGAAAAATAAGTTCGTAAAAAAGCCATTGCAAATCCAAAAAAGTGCAAGAACTTATACCGTAACAGAAAGAAAATAGACTCAAAATAGTTAAAGAGTTGCTTCGCTTGGCCAAAAGTGGTGAACTGCCGAATTTGGTTTTCTCTGATGAGAAAACATTCGTTGTCCAGCAGTTTGTAAACAAACCAAATGATCGTGTTTACTTGCCAAAGAGGTCAGCTGAAAATGTGCACCTTCTGTTGGCCACCAGAACTCAAGCGCCATAACAGCCGATGGTCGCTCTCCGCTTGTATTAATCGAAAGAAGCATCAGAATAAATGCCGAATATTATCGCGAAAATATTCTGGAGGGTGTATTAAAGCCTTGGACACACCAAGATTTTGGCCGTAGACCTTGGACATTCCAACAGGACTCAGCACCATCGCATTCAGCACAGCAAATGAGGTTCCTCGCTTCATTTCCAGCGCATAATGGCCATCAAAATCTCCGGATACCAATCCGTTGGACTATTGTGTCTGGAGTATGTCGGAAAGCAAGGTTGGCACTAAAAAATACCAAAGTTTCAAATACCGCAGAGCAACATTCGGGCAGCGTGTGACCATTTGCCATAATTCGTGCCAAAGGTGACCAATTCTAAAAAATCTAAACTAATTCTAAAATTTGATGCTATTTCCGATATATTTTTTTCTTTCATTCAATAAAATTGAAAAAAAGTAAAAAAATGTAGTGTGACTTTGTTGTTGTTTTTTATCTTACCCTGTACATCACAATCTTTTTGTTAACCCATGGTCTGGTTTGAAGATGGAATATTAAGGGCCACTTTTCCTGGTACCTCTTTCATAGAGGGTCAAAATTTTGAATATCCATGAACATCAATATTTCGATAAATACAAGATCTGTTTTATCTGTATTAGATGAAGTAGTTCTATATCTGGCACTTCACGCATATTTCCACATTTTCCAAAATTTTGCTCATATCTCATATAAAGTATGGGAAGTACACGATATAGTCGAGTCAATATTAGCCAACTGTTTCGGAACTGCCCCCATAAAGGGTCAACAGTGTGAATAATCATAATTCATAGCTGGGTGTATACATCTGTTGGCAAAACCGACTGATACTATTTAAATTGTTTAATTATAATTTTAAGGGTATTCAAAGCAATAGGACACAATCCCACAATAATTATACATTTCGTATTGTGCTTCAAGTCTTTCAATACTGCGATCCGAATATGACTTTTGTTTTGCCATAAATGTTAACGAATATCTTTGGCAACTCTCTTCCTTAAAAGCAATTGAAACTTTTGTAATGTTTATCTATAGATGAAATATTTTTTCTTGCCCTCACATCCAAACTTAACTAATGGGTATGACTAAATTTATTCCAGTTTATCCGCATCACTTGATGGTTACGCCAACAATTGAAAATTTTGCTAACGACAACACCACTTATGCCAATGGACAACAAGCGAACGGCAACTGCATGCAACCAACGACACAACAACAAAAAGAACGAACATCAATAACGACAAGACGACAAACTTGCGACAGTTGCACGACTAAAGAAATACCAACAAACTTTACCATGGCAACGGCTAGTGAATTTTATCCCGAATCCATGTGGCCCGCAACTTCATTGGCAAACCATAAAACCCGTAACACAAACAACGACATCAATTTTGAATTGTGGACACAGAAATATGTTGGAGCCGAGGGCAATTTAGATGCCATGCATCTCGATACGTTCCAGGCCGAGAATATGGCATTTGCCAAAAACGTTGAACTTTATCCGAATAAACTAAGAGACCTGCAGGAACGTGTAATGAGAGCCAGTTCACTAACATATCTTCCGTATGTTAAAACTGATTATGTGGTAAGTTAGGGAGAGAAGGGTAATTATTAACGATATCAAAAAGACAGTGGTAACGCTTTTGAGGAAAAGTGTAAAATTTCGGAATTTCCTCTGTGGAGTCTTTTTCGAAAGAAAAGTTAGTAGTTAATTTCTGGAATGGAAAAGTTCATTGCCGACGATGACTCTTCCTCTATGGAAAAGTTCATCGCCGACGACGATGATGACTTTTCCTATATGGAAAAGTTCATCGCCGACGATGATGATGACTTTTCCTATATGGAAAAGTTTCCTATATGGAAAAGTTTCCTATTTGGAAAAGTTCATCGCCGACGATTATAATCTATGGAAAAGTTCATCGCCGACGATGATTATGACTTTTCCTCTATGGAAAAGTTCATCGCCGACGATGATGATGACTTTTCCTATATGGAAAAGTTCATCGCCGACGATGGTGATGACTTTTCCTATATGGAAAAGTTCATCGCCGACGATGATAATGACTTTTCCTCTATGGAAAAGTTCATCGCCGACGATGATGATGCCTTTTCCTATATGGAAAAGTTCATCGCCGACGACGATGATGACTTTTCCTCTATGGAAAAGTTCATCGCCGACCATGATGATGACTTTTCCTCTATGGAAAAGTTCATCGCCGACGATGATGATGACTTTTCCTCTATGGAAAAGTTCATCGCCGACGATGATTATGACTTTTCCTATATGGAAAAGTTTCCTATTTGGAAAAGTTCATCGCCGACGATGATTATGACTTTTCCTATATGGAAAAGTTTCCTCTATGGAAAAGTTCATCGCCGACGATGATGATGACTTTTCCTCTATGGAAAAGTTCATCGCCGACGATGATTATGACTTTTCCTATATGGAAAAGTTTCCTATTTGGAAAAGTTCATCGCCGACGATTATAATCTATGGAAAAGTTCATCGCCGACGATGATTATGACTTTTCCTCTATGGAAAAGTTCATCGCCGACGATGATTATGACTTTTCCTATATGGAAAAGTTTCCTATTTGGAAAAGTTCATCGCCGACGACGATAATGACTTTTCCTATATGGAAAAGTTCATCGCCGACGATGATGATGACTTTTCCCTCTATGGAAAAGTTCATCGCCGACGATGATGATCACTTTTCCTCTATGGAAAATTTCATCGCCGACGATGATGATGACTTTTCCTCTATGGAAAAGTTCATCGCCGACGATGATGATGAGTTTTCCTATATGGAAAAGTTCATCGCCGACGATGATGTTGACTTTTCATCTATGGAAAAATTCATCGCCGACGATGATGACGACTTTTCCTCTATGGAAAAGTTCATCGGTCCGATGATGACTTTTCCCTATATGGAAAAGTTCATCGGTCCGATGATGACTTTTCCCTATATGGAAAAGTTCATCGGTCCGATGATGACTTTTCCCTATATGGAAAAGTTCATCGCCGACGATGATAATGACTTTTCCCTATATGGAAAAGTTCATCGCCGACGATGATAATGACTTTTCCTCTATGGAAAAGTTCATCGCCGACGATGATGATGCCTTTTCCTATATGGAAAAGTTCATCGCCGACGACGATGATGACTTTTCCTCTATGGAAAAGTTCATCGCCGACCATGATGATGACTTTTCCTCTATGGAAAAGTTCATCGCCGACGATGATGATGACTTTTCCTCTATGGAAAAGTTCATCGCCGACGATGATGATGACATTTCCTCTATGGAAAAGTTCATCGCCGACGATGATGATGACTTTTCCTCTATCGAAAAGTTCATCGCCGACGATGATGATGACTTTTCCTATATGGAAAAGCTCATCGCCGACGATGATGATGACTTTTCCTATGTGGAAAAGCTCATCGCCGACGATGATGATGACTTTTCCTATAGAAAACTCATTCCAAGTTACTGTACAATTTCTATTACTCTATTTTGGAAACTTCTACTTCAATTTGTTGTCATAGAACCAATTAAACACCCGCTCTCCACGAAGACGAATAAGAAGAGGGTGCACAGCGAAGCGTGTACAATTTCCTTGGTGTATAGACCGAAAAACAAGGCAAAAAGTTAAACAAGCAAAACTTTTGCCAGAACAGTTTATTGTTGGTTAAGTTTCTCTACATAAGTTTGAGGTCTAAGTTTTTCGTTTGTATGCCACACGGCGGTTCAGCACGGTCCCCCGTAATGGTGTCACTTAATTGTAAACATATGTTGTGGCATGTGTTTATCTAACAACACCGTTCCTTGTTGCGCTCACCCTCTTGCTCTTTTGGGCACTTGCCAAACAAATGGTGTTATGTGTCGTACCGAAGAGAGTACATACACACACACACATGTTCACATGTTTGCTATCCCACACACTTCAGGAAAATATGCATCTTTTGGTGGGCCTAAATGTCAGGGGGAAGGGTTGCGGGGCTAGGCATAGTGTAAACTTTTATTCACACTCAATTGTCAATCTAGAATAACTATGCCCAGGAGGAGTGTAACTTGGGCCATAATGATGAGAGGGCGTGGGCGTAACGATGTCCTTTCAATTGCTGTTGTTGCCGTTGTTGTTGTAAACAAACATAAGATTACAATCATTGATTTAAATACCCACCCCGTATGTCAGTTTACTTGTTTGGGTGTCGTCTTAATTATACATCCCATGTGACCACAAGGAGGGATGTTCTAAATGCCATTACTGCTAATATTAGGCAAGCAAAAGATGGGAATTATGCTAATCTTTTAGTAAATGGTTTATATCAAGAATTTAAATTAACAAGATATATGTTATGCAGGCAAATGTTTTGTAAGGAAAACAAGTAAAAAAACATTAAGTTCGGCCGGGCCAAAATTTTAATACCCTCCACCTTAGGGTAAAAGAAACATTAGAAGAAATGTGGCAAAAACCATTAAAATGCCGAATATCGGGAGGTACCGTTATATGGGGGCTACACCAAAACGTGGACCTATAATTACAATGTTTTGGTATGGTCCCATATAACGGTACCTCCCGATATTCGGAATTTTGATGATTTTTGACACATTTTTTTCACGAATTTCTCTGACAATTGGTAGTTGTAGGTCATAATGGGTCCCAGTTCGTGTGGAGAATCATTGTAATTATAGGTCCACGTTTTGGTGTAGTCCCCATATAACGGTACCTTCCGATATTCGGTATTTTGACAATTTTTGCCACTTTTTTTCACAGATTTGGCTGAAAATTAGTATTTGTAGGTCATAGTGGGTTCTAGCTTCTTTGGCGAAACAGTGCATGTATAGGTCCACGATTTGGTATAGCCCTCATATAACCATACTTCCCGATATTCGGCATTTTAATGGTTGTTGCCACATTTCTTCGCGGATTTGTCTAGAAATTGGTATTTGTTGGTCTTAATGGGTTCTAGCTCTTTTGGTAAAACACTGTATGTATAGGTCCACGATTTGGTATAGCCCTATTATAACCGTACTTCCCGATATTCGGCATTTTAATGGTTGTTGCCGCATTTCTTCGCGGATTTGTCTAGAAATAGGTATTTGTAGGTCATAATTGGTCCTAGTTCGTGCGGCGAAACATTGTAGGTATAGTTACACGTTTTGGTATGGTCCCATATAACGGTACCTCCCGATATTTTGACACATTTTTTAACGAATTTCTCCGACAATTGGTAGTTGGTCCACACGAATGGGTCCCAGTTCGTGTGGCGAGTCATTGTAATTATAGGTCCACGTTTTGGTATAGTCCCCATATAACGGTACCTTCCGATATTCGGTATTTTGACGATTTTTGCCACATTTTTTCACGGATTTGTCTAGTAATTGGTATTTGTTGATCTTAATGGATTCTAGCTGCTTTGGCGAAACACTGTATGTATAGGTCCACGATTTGGTATAGCCCTATTATAACCGTACTTCCCGATATTCGGCATTTTAATGGTTGTTGCCACATTTCTTCGCGGATTTGTCTAGAAATTGGTATTTGTTGGTCTTAATGGGTTCTAGCTCTTTTGGTAAAACACTATATGTATAGGTCCACGTTTTTTACAGCCCCATATAGCCGTATTTCCCGATATTCGGTATTTGATGATTTTTGGCACATTTTCCCATGAATATGTCTAAAAATCGGTATATGTGTGGGTCATAATGGGCTCTAATGTTTCCTTTCCCTAACGTGGAGGGTATCAAAGTTTAGCCCGGCCGAACTTAATGTTTTTTTACTTGTTTATAAAGATGTGGTTTTGTAAATGGTTACTACAAATGTACGAAAAGTACTAAATGGTACTATATTTGGTACGATGTGGAATTTGTTAGTAGGGTCTCTGTTCATGTATAGTGTATGAAGGTTGTTTCTAAAATGTGTACCATAATTGTATAAAAAGTACTAAATTTGGTATTGGGTGAAGGAATAATTTAAAAATCTGAAATTTGATATTTAGATTGCTGATGATATCAGTGTTTGAGATTTGCGAAAAATACTAAATGGTACTAACATCGGTATTCGGTGAAGGGCTAAGCTGGAATCTTGAAATTTGATATTGAGGTCACTGTTTGAATCTAGAATTGAGATATGTTGAGGTGTACTATATCTGTACGAAAAGTACTAAATGTTATTACATTTGGTATTGAATGATATAGATGTCACTGTTGGTATCCGAGTTGTGCAAGAAAGTCAAACGCCATAATTTTTACATTTTTTTTTAATTTTAATGAATGAAAGCAAAAAATGTAAGAAATAGCATAAAATTTTGGAATAAATTTAGATTTGTTCGAATTGGTCACCTTTGGCACGAATTATGGCCTTCAAACGGTCAATGAAACCGCCACACGCAGCCCGAATGTTGCTCTGCGGTATTTTGGCCTATTCAAGACGAAGCGCTTGCTTGAGGTGATGGACACTTTGGTATTTTTTTTAGTGCTAACCTTGCTGTCCAAAATACTCCAGACACAGTAGTCCGACGGATTGGTATCCGGAGATTTTGGTGGCCATTGTGCGCTGGAAATGAAGCGAGGAACCTCATTTTGTAACCATTCGAATAATACGAGCGGAGAGCGACCATCTGCCGCTATGGCAGTCCACACCATCATAACGGCCGGCGCTTGAGTTCTGGTGGCCAACCGAAGGTGCACATTTTCAGCTGACCTCTTTGGCAAGTAAACACGATCATTTTGTTTGTCTATAAACTGCTAGACAACAAATGTTTTCTCATCGGAGAAAACCAAATTCGGCAGTTCACCACTTTCGGCCACAAGGTGGTCAGGTATTATGTCTTTGTGCATTTGTTTGTAACAGGCAAAAGGAAACGAGATAGACCAATAGTTCCTTTTGATGATATGCATAGAATCACATTTTGAGTCGATTTATCCGTCCGTCCGTCCGTCTGTCCATGTATTTTTGTAAACAAAGTACAGCTCACATTTATTGCCCGATCCAGATGAAATTTTCCAAACAACATTTGCTTGGCCCAAGGACGAACCCTATTGAAATTGGAGATAATCGGTCAAAATTTAGATATAGTTCCCATATATATCTTTGTCCGATTTGGCTTTTATTGTGCACCAAACGTGTAATATCAGTATGGAATTTTGCACATACAACCAATTTAGGCCTGAAAATAAGTATGCAAAATTTAATCGAAATCGGTTCAGATATAGCTATAGCTCCCATATATATATTGTTCATCCGATTTGTTATTTTAGTCCTCCGCAGCCGTAATATGCACTATGTAACAACAATATTTGGGGAAATATATCAAATGCAGCTCAGAAATACCTTTGTAAAATTTTATCGAGGTCGGTTCAGATTTGGATATAGCTCCCATATATAATTTCGTCCGATTTGTGCACCAAACGTTTAATGTTTACCCAAATGGGATGAAATTTGGCACATATGCCAAATTTGGTTAAAATCGGTTCAGATATAGCTATAGCTCCCATATATATTGATCATCCGATTTGTTACCCACAGCCGTAATATGCACTCCGTAACAACGATATTCAAGGAAATATATCAAATACAACTTAGAAATATCTTTGCCAAATTTTATCGAGATCGGTTCAGATTTGACATAATCCCTATTATTATAGGGTTTATGTCCGCTACTTTCTGGGTATTATGAAATGGGTATGACCAAAAAAAAACGGTCATGGTTGTAATGGGAATAGTGTCCTTGGGGATTATAACACGGCATCGTCTTTTCATGGCCTCTGGCTTAAAGTTCGAAGCATTAAAAGGCGAATTTTTTTATGTTTCTGCTGCTCCTTTGAAGTTCTAATCCACTTCTCTGCTTTCTGGAAAGTTCAGCAAACTTCAAAGGCCCCTTTGAAAAATTCTGCATTTAAACAACCGAATCACTTTTTCAACTTTCTCCATTTGTGTTACCATAACTTTTCACCTCTCTTTCCTGCAGAATCCTGGAGAAGGTAATGTTGATGCCATCGACTCACATGGTCCCAATAAAACCGTATCATTTCTTGGCTCTGAAGCGGATTTATTGCGGTCATTTTGTGAAACACATAATTGTCGCATTCGAATGCAGCCATGTGAGTAAGACAACATATGCATTTATTTAGAACCACATCATTAACCCTTTCTCCTCAGATGGACTCGATTTTTGGGGTGCGGTTTTTGATAATGGTTCTTCGGATGGTGCTGTCAGCGATATATATGAACAACGATCTGAGGTGATGATTGGTTGTTTGTACAACTGGTATCCTGAAATATGGGAAATATCACAATTCATTGCAAAGTCAGCGGTGACGGTGTTGGGACCAGGGCCAACGTGAGTAAATTTTTTTATACCCTTCACCATATATATATTATATTAAGTTGATCATACCGTTTGTAACGCCTCGAAATATTTATAATAGACCCAACAAAGTATATATATTCTGGATCAGCGTAAAATTCTAAGACGATCTACCGATGTCCGTCTGTATGTCTGTTGTAATCACGCTCTTTCGGACGAATTGAGATAGATGGCCAAAGTTTTGAATACATGCATAGTTAACCAGTAGACAGGTTAAGTTCGTAAATGTTCCTTGTCGGTCCACGTTTTCGCATAGCCCTCATATAACGGTACCTCCCGACGTTCGGTATTTTCACGGTTTTAGCGATAGTAATTACCGGAATTATTTCAAATTTCATATTAATAGTTCGTAAAGTATATTACAGCCTCAGACAAAAATTGTTGTATGCATATCCACGTCTTCGTATAGCCAACATATAACGGTACCTCCCGATATTCGGTATTTTCATGATTTCAGCTACATTATTTACCGGAATTATTTCAAATTTCGTGTTGGAAGATCTTAATGGTTACTACAACCTATGGAAAAAAATTTCGTATGCAGGACCACGTATTCGTATAGCGCCTATGTAAGGGTACCCCCCGATATTCGATATTTTTTAAGACTTTAGCGACATTATTTACCGGAATCATTTCAAGTTTCGTACTTAAAGTTCGTAACAGTACCTTCCGATATTCGGTATTTTGATTATTTTCTAACTCCCTATGTTCGAAACATATTATTCACCTTTTTTTTAAGGGAATTGGTTTTATTTTTTATTTTATTTTATTTATTTATTATTATTATTATTTTTTTTTTTTTTTTTGAAAATTGCCAAATCCGCTCCAAATAGCAGAGGGTATACAAAGTTCGGTCCGGCCGAACTTACAGCTTTTTTTACTTGTTTTCCTAAAAAAAATATTTTCTAAATAATATCCGCTTGCAGGCAATTTCCTCGTTGGCGTACCAATATAATGCCATTTTCAACGGAACTTTGGATTTGCCTAATTCCAACTTTGGTTCTGTGTTCTCTGTTGTTTCATTTTGTCAAGTATACCGGCTATAGTTGCATGAAAGGCGGAAGAAGCCGGAAAAGGCATGGTCTCAAAAGTTTCGAAAAAGCCATGCTGGAGGTTTTTGCTGTGTTTATACAACAACCTTCTGTGGATACAGTGTAAGATTAACAAACTTTCTTTTATTTCCAAAATTTTGTTTAAATCAAAGACTCTCTTCTCAGTCTTAAGCGTACCGCAAGTCGTGTCTTCTTGGCATTTCTGCTGTGTGCAACCATCACCCTGGAAAACACCTACAGTGGCCAATTGAAATCGATTCTAACCAGTCCACTTTTTTACGAACCCATCGACACTGTCGAGAAGTGGTCGGCCACCGATTGGAAATGGGCAGCACCCTCTATAGTTTGGGTAGAAACGATCTTGGGATCGAACATAACCAAGGAACAACGTATGGCTGCCAGTTTTGAGATACGCGATCATGATTACATGTACAATGCTAGATTTCGGAATGATTATGGTTTTGGGGTGGAACGTCTATATAGTGGCTTCTTGAATGTTGGCAAATACATAACAATACCGGCGGTGGAATCGAAAGTTGTGAGTCGATGATTTCCAATGACAGATTGAATGACATAATATTTCGAATAGAAGAGTGGTATGTGTTTTTGAAAAAAATATTTATTTCGGCTATTTTTATTTCAGATATTAAAGGACGATATATACATAGATTGGACGCGTGCTGCTTCTATAAGAGGTTGGCCTCTAATGCCCGTTTTGGATCAACATATTATATTTTGTCTTGAAACAGGACTATACATACATTGGGAGAGACTCGTAAGTATATGAGTACCAAATTTGTTACCTTTTCCCCAAAAATAGTTTAAATATTTTCCAATCCTTTATGGAATTAGAGAACAACAATATGGGCTAAATAAAAAAAAGTAATTTAATACGCCGAAATAATAAATTTATAGGCTTAAACGATAAAAATCATATTTTCATATTTTTCTTTTCATTTTTTCAGGCCAATTATCGTTTTATGGATCGCAAATTACAAGATGTCCTAGTGAAAATTGCCTCAAATGAGAAACCAAAATCACCACCACAAAAGCTTTCCATCGATCACATATCGGGGCCATTATTTATTCTGCTGTTCGGCTATTTGACAGCATTCGTAGTATTTGTAATGGAGGTTATTTCCAGTCATTTAAAGAAGCAGTTGAACAAAATTTAAATGATTCACACCTTTCTCAGCTTGGATAATATGAAAAACCTTATTTTTGGAACACAAAAAATAGTTTTCACATAAATATATTAGAAATATTCTTTTCAAGAAAGCCGTCACTGTAGAAATCACAAAATAAATACGTAGTATTATTTGCTTAAAGTATGATGTTTATTGTCACTTAAAAGTTTTTAAAAATATTTGAAAGCATTTGAGTTAACATTACAGGGCGTCTAGAAGAAGAGGCTAGAGAAGTTTCTTCGCAATAAAAAATACAATATAAAAATGTCAGTTTTATTTTTTCTAAGTCTTTCTAAAATTCTTCGATACATTTCTACGACAAATATACAGATATACAGGTTGAAATAAAAAAAACTGCAACAAAGTCAAACGCCATAATTTTTGCATCAAATTTAAGAATAAGTTTAGACTGGTTCGAATTGGTCACCTTTGGCACGAATTCTGGCCTTCAAACGGTCAATGAAACCATCAAACGCTGCCCCAAATGTTGCCCCTGCTCGGTATTTTGGCCCATTCCCGGCGAAGCGCTAGCTTGAGGTGATCGACACTTTGGTCATTTTTAGTGCCAACCTTGTTTTCTAAAATACTCCAGACACAATAGTCCAACGGATTGGTATCCGGATATTTTGGTGGCCATTATGTGCTGGAAACCTCGTTTTGTAACAGTTCTCACGGTTACGAACAATGGTACGATACAAAAAAGATTTATTAACATTTAAATTAATCGACCGTGGCATCAGAATAAATGCCGAATATTTTCGCGAAAATGTTCTGGAGGGTGTATTAAAGCCTTGGACATTCCAACAGGACTCAGCACAATCGAACTCAACAGGCGTCACCAAAGAATGGTTAACAAAATGAGGTTCATCGCTTCATTTCCAGCGCACAATGGAAACCAAAATATCCGGATACCAATCCGTTGGACTATTGTGTCTGGAGTATTTTGGAAAGCAATGTTGATACTCAAAAATAACAAGGTGTCGATCACCTCAAGCAAGCACTTCGCCAGGAATAGGCCAAAATACCGCCGAGCAACATTCGGGCAGCGTGTGACGGTTTCATTGGCTGTTTGAAGGCCATAATTCGTACCAAAGGTGACCAATTCGAACAAATCTAAACTTCTTCTAAAATTTGATGCTATTTCCGACATTTTTTGCTTTCATTCAATAAAATTAAAAAAAAAAATGTAATAATTGTGGCGTTTGATTTTGTTACAGTTTTTTTATCTCACCCTGTACATTCGATTAGTTTCAAAAACTTAAAAAATTCATTAAGCCAGGGCAAGCCAAAAATAAATGATGAAATAGGGAATTCGTTCAATGGGGCGTATAAGTATTGAAGAGTAAAACCAATATTATTTTGAATTACGTATACGCAACATGGTATAGAAAAGTCAAATGTAGTTTAATTTATTCTTTCTATACGTTGTCTGTATTGTCTGAGATAGATATGACATAGAGATATTAAATATATTTGGAGGCAATATTGGATATACCAAAAAGTGATTTTGAATGTAATGGCAGCCACGAAGCCGCACGACTCTGGATTTCTTACGACTCTCTCGCTTTATATCTGGCCATTACTTGGAAATTGTGAGGTGAAACAGAAGAAATCTGGAATGGAGATATCACTATCTGATCATCTTCGTAAAGAATATGCAAAGAACAAAAATCCAATTCTGTCACATTCAAGCTTGTTATGTATAAAGAAAATTGCTATTAGAGGCCTAAAAACCAGATATTTTTCTAATTTCCAACCCAAAAAAAAAAAACACACCCACATAACATAATTCCTTTGGTAAAAAAAAAACTATTACAACATACCAACACAACACCATTGTCATTGTCCCACTTTTTCTCGCATATCCGAGTATAACTACTTCATTTCTAGTCACATAGAAACATGATAGAAAAAAACAAAAACAATTCCGTTTCACGGATATCACATCCAGTGTTTTTCAAACGGTCTCACAGATTTACGTATGTGTGTGTGTGTTTTCCTTTCCCTGCAATGCAACCAATTGAAACAGAGATAAAAACAAGCATATGAATGAGTCAGTGAATAAATGGTTGAATGGATGTATGCGAATCGGACAAACAAACAAATCTGGTCGTTGGGTGGAAAAAAAAGTTCAAAAGTCAAAGTTGTTAAACACCAATTGGAGTACAATTCAATTGGCAAAGGAACAGCATCGGTAATATCAGTAAACCCATTATTGTGTGTGAGTGAGCGTGTGGCGTTTTTCTTCATTTGGCCGTTTTCAAACGAGGTCGGTGTCAAAAGGGAGAAATACAGATACACGGTTGGTGTTCAGGAGAATGTAAAGGCAGTGATTGTGAAAATTCGAGCTAAATATAGTACTTAAAAGGTACTAAATTCTAAGGCATTATTAATATTATGGTAGAATTAAGTAATGGTGGAATTCCTTAACTTGCAATAAGAGCCAATGCTGGTTGGTAATTCAAACCTAAATCGGGGATGAAAATAGCATCGTTTCTGAACATCGGGACTTAAATTGCATTATTAGAGCAATAACAACTGTAATATCCAATGTGTTGGCTATTGGACTATTGGAGTGTAGGCATACTAAAATATACTACGTGCTATACGCTTGTATTAGGTTATTGATAAATCTATAGGGTGAGATAAAAAAAAACTGCAGCAAAGTCAAATGACAGAGTTTTGACATTAAAAAAAAAAAAAAATATTGAATGAAAGCAAAAAATTTCGGATATAGTATCAAATTATAGAATAAGTTTAGATTTGTTCGAATTGGTCACCTTTGGCACGAATTATGGCCTTCAAACGGCCAATGAAACCGTCACAGGCTGCCCGAAATTTTGGGCCCATTCCCGGCGAAGCGCTGGCTTAAGGTGATCCACACTTTGGTATTTGTTAGTGCCAACCTTGCTTTCTAAATTACTCCAGACACAATAGTCCAACGGATTGGTATCCGGCGAGGAACCTCATGTTGTAACTATTCTTGGGTGGCGCGTGCTGAGTGCGATGGTGCTGAGTCCTGTTGAAAGGCTTTAATACACTCTCCAGAATATTTTCGTGATAATATTCGGCATTTATTCTGATGCCGCGGTCGAATAATACGAGACGCAAGCGACCATCGGCTGTTATGGCGGCCCACATCATTACCATGGCCGGCGCTTGAATTCTGGTGGCCACATTTTCAGCAGATCTCTTTGACAAGTAAACACAATCATTTTGTTTGTTTAAAAACTGCTGAATAACGAATGTTTTCTCATCGGAGAAAACCAAATTCAGCAGTTCACCACTTTCGGCCAAGCGAAGCAACTCTTTAGCTCTTTTGAGTCAATTTTCTTTCTGTTGCGGTGTAAGTCCTTGCATTTTTTGGAATTTCAATGGCTTTAACCCGAGCTCATTTTTCAATATTTGCCAAATGGAATATTGCGATATGTTCAGGTCACGAGCCATTTTTCGGCCACAGTGACGTTGTCTGAACTTGGTTGCAGTTTTTTCATCTCACCCTGTATATACAATTCTCTTCTAGGGAATAAAGTACTCAGACAATACCGCATATCGGGAGGAACCGTTACATGGGAAATATACGATATTGTAGACCGATTCGAACTTATGTAGACTTAAAGACAAAAGACGGATCTGTGCAAAGTTTTAGCTTCATATCTTAATTCATTATGACTCCGGTGTGATTACAACAGACGGACGGACGGAGGGGCAGGGCAGAATCGTCTTAGAATTTTAAGCTGATCAAAAAAAATATATATATAGTAATAATAATAATAATAATAATAATAATAATAATAATAATAATAATAATAATAATAATAATAATAATAATAATAATAATAATAATAATAATAATAATAATAATAATTATAATAATAATAATAATAATAATAATAATAATAATAATAATAATAATAATAATAATAATAATAATAATAATAATAATAATAATAATAATAATAATAATAATAATAATAATAATAATAATAATAATAATAATAATAATATATTCTTTGTTGCGTCTAAAATTGTTATTTCGATGAGTTACAAACAGAATGACGAAATTAATATACACTCCATACTATGTATGGTGGAGGAAAAACTGAAGGACTCTTATTGAGCATTCAAAGAATTTTTATTAAATGTCTATCGAAATTTTAGAATATCTATAGAGAATAACGGCAATAAGAGCAAAAATATTTGATTTTTTAATAACAATTCTAAAGAATTAGAAGTATAATTGCTACAAAATGACTTTATCATACTACAAATTGCTACAAATGTCTTATACCATTGCGACAAGAAAAGAAGACTATACTTGCACATCATACCCACCTCGCTACATGGTGTTCAACAATTAAGACCATTATGGAAGTAACAAACCTCAGCTACTAACCATTTACCAGTTAATGGAAGTGGAAGTAAAAACACTCTGTTGTGTCTGCTAGTGTGTGTGTGCACTTAAAGCCCTCTCTCAGATGCTGACTCTTCAGCCAATTCGTAATAATAGGCAAAAGGCAAAGCAACAATTGTGGCAATATTTTACGAAGGATTCCAGGCTATTTGGCATCGAAAGAAGAGTCATTTGCCTGATAACTGAGTGGCAGCGCCCAACCACAAAAAAACCGGAACAAAATGCTGACAAACCTCTATAGAAAATTGCACAAATTGGCCGTTTTTAATGTTGGGATTTAGGCCAAATAAAATCGAGATTTTTACAGGTTGTTATTCTTCATTCATATGCGAAAATACTGCTGCTGTTGGTGGTTGGTGTGGTGATGCTGCTCCTGTTGTCAAGTGACTACTATGAAAAGTGGAGAAAACAAGCCATCATCATCATCGCCATTAGAATAAAATTGAAATGTAAGCGATTAAAGGATTATGTTAACAGGAATGTGTTTGCCATTTAATCCCGCCCCGTTAAATGAGAACAAAGCGTGATTGAAATGTAAGCAGAATTAGGGGATATGGTAGTGTATGACAGAGTAATATTGCAGTTGATATTTTCAGTGAAAGTAAGATTGCATCTCATTTTTTTAGAAAAATTAAGTACTTGGTGTTATTGATTAAGGAACTAGGTTGTAATAAACAGGATATGGTGGCACTGTGAATTGTAAA